TTGTACCTATTCATCTCCGTACTAAATTATTAAGTACATATCACAACCCCAAAGCAGCTGGACATCCAGGCAAAAACCAATTAATCTGGTCCGTCTCTCGGCAATTTTGGTGGCCTAGTCTCCATTCGGATGTCACCGCTTTTGTAGCTGCCTGTCCTGTATGCGCTCAAAATAAAACCCCACGACACCCTCCAGTGGGTCTCCTGCAAACCATACCTAATGGTGAACGACCCTGGACCCACTTGTCCATGGATTTTATCGTAGATCTTCCGGTCTCCCATGGCAATACAGTCGTTCTCATGGTTGTTGACCGATTCTCAAAGATGTCGCATTGCATTCCCTTGAAAAAACTACCAACTTCTCAGGAACTTGCAACAATTTTTGCTCGGGAGGTCTTTCGTTTGCATGGGTTACCCTAAGTGATAATCTCAGATGGGGTAGCCAGTTTGTGTCCAGATTTTGGAGAGCTTTTTGTACACAAATGGGAATTCAGCTTTCCTTCTCCTCTGCCTACCACCCGTAAAACCAATGGTGCCACGGAACGAGCTAACCAAACACTGGAACAGTTTCTGCATTGCTACATTTCTGACCACCAGAACAACTGGTCTGATCTGCTACCCTGGGCGGAGTTTGCCCACAATAGTGCGATTAATGCCTCTTCCCGGCTATCCTCGTTCTTGGCGAACTATGGCTTTCAACCATCCATATTGCCTGATACGTTCATGCCACAGGGGATACCGGCATTGGAGGAACATCTCAGGGAACTCCGTCCCACTTGGGTGCAGGTTCAGAACTCTTTGCAACGCGCAATGCAGAACTACAAACTCCAGGCCGACCGCAGACGCCTTCCTGCACCTACCTATCAAGTCGGAGAGAGGGTCTGGCTGTCTTCTTGCAACCTACGGCTCCGTGTTCCCTCACAAAAACTGGCACCCCGATACGTTGGGCCATTTCGTATACTTCGAAGGGTTAACCCTGTAGCTTACGCACTTGACCTTCCTGCTAACATGCGCATCTCTAATGTATTCCATGTTTCTCTCTTGAAACCATTGGTATGAAATCGTTACACCACCTCAGTACCACGTCCACGTCCTGTTCCGGTTGACAATCATGAGGAATATGAAATACGCAGCATCATTGACTCACGAGTCTTCAGAGGACAGATCCAATACTTGGTGCACTGGAAAGGGTACGGTCCAGAGGAACGCTCCTGGGTTCCAGCCTCTGATGTCCATGCACCATCCCTCCTTCGTTCCTATCACGCTCGCTTCCCCATGAAGCCCGGACCCACAAGCAGAGATGGGGGGAGTCGTTGAGGGGGAGGTACTGTCAGGGTTTCTTTGCTGTTTTAAACAGCCACCCTTCCTTTTTCAGTGTCTGAGGTTTCAGCTGTAATTAACGATCAGCTCCTTCAGCATGTTGCCACGGTTACTCACCTGAGAATAGTAATCAACCCTGCTGCTAATCAGTTCTGCCTATTTAAGCAGCAAATCCCAGAACCTCCTTGCCCTTGCGTGGTTTCCTGTTCCCCAGAAGTCTCCTTGTTCCTGTGTTTCCTGTTTGCTCCTGGTTCCTGACTCTGGCCTTGTTCCTGACTCCACTGCTCTCCGTTCTCCTGACCCTGGCTCGTCTGACTACCCGCTCTGGTGACTGACCCCTGCTTGCCTCCTGGACTTTGCTTTTGGTTATTTCTTTATTTATTAAATAAAGGTGTTTTTGCATCTAGATCTGTCTCTGTCTGGTTCCTGGTTCCTGACACCTATACACTGAACCGAGGGCACAGACCAACGTACAGGGAACAGCCCCAACCCCATTTACGCCTGCTAACGGTACTAGACAAGGCTGCCCCCTCTCCCCCCTGCTGTTTGTTCTCTCGCTGGAGCCTCTCCTGCAGAGGATAAGGGAAGACAGGAACATATCTGGGATTAAAGCAGGGGGAGAAGAATTCAAAGTCTCCGCGTACGCGGACGATGTCCTGGTCACGCTCACCAACCCAAGGGAATCCCTGCCCCGACTGATGATCCTCCTAGAGGAATACGGATGCATCTCAGGCTACAAGATTAACTTAGAAAAATCGGTGGCCATGCCAATAGAAATGGACGCGGAGGGAATCAATGACATTAAAAATACCTACCCCCTCAAAATTACGAGATCTGATATTAAATACCTCGGTATTAAACTCACTGCGGACCCGGAGAAACTATACAGTGCCAATTACATACCCAATATCCAGGCACTCTGTCACGATCTGGAAAAGTGGCATGAAAAGCCCATATCGTGGATTGGCAGACTGCACGCAATCAAAATGACACTACTCCCACGACTACTGTTCCTGTTCCAGGCCCTACCGATCAACAAGACCTACAGACACTCCAGAAACACATAGATAACTTCATCTGGGCGCAGAAAAGACATAGGATCACTAGACAGGTACTGTACCTACCGAAAGCGAAGGGCGGGCTGGGACTCCCAAACCTGTATCAATATTACCTGGCGGCTCAATTGGCCCAAATAATAGCATGGCATACACCGGAGGGCTCGCACAGGTGGGTGGATCTAGAGACAAAACTTATGAGCACGGACCTTCCACAATTCTGGATATGGGTACCCAAACAAGACAGACCACCCCTAAGCACCACTTGCCCGGCGATCCTTAATTCCATAAGGATCTGGGATTTGACAGCCACCAAATACGCACTAAAACATACACCCTCGCCGCTGACACCGTACCTACGGAATAAAGCATTTGGGCCCGGGCTGAGCACACGAGACTTTAGGGGGATAGAATACACGGGAATGCAAAGATATGGGCACATGTATGACGGCGACTCCTTCAAAACCTTTGACACCCTAAAAAACATGGCACCCCTAACAACAAAAGACGTCTTCTGATATGTACAGTTGCGAGACTTTGCCAAAAACCCTGAAATAAAAAAGCAGCACAGACCCCAATGACATTCTATGAACAGCTGTGTAACGCTGAAACAACTCAAAAGGGGTTGATTACAGCCATTTATGCGCAGCTCAGCACCCCGGAAAAGGGAGCTACAGACCCAAGATACACACACCAGTGGGAGGCGGACCTGGGGGGGGGGGCTTACCGGGGGGGGGGCTTAGAAGGTGAGGATTGGGTAGATATATGGGAAGCGACGGCTAAAACGTCGATTTGCGTATTACACCAGGAACAATCCTACAAAATGCTTATAAGATGGTACACAACACCTGTCCAACTCCATAAGATGGGGAAAACCTCGACAGACACATGTTGGAAGGGATGCGAAGGCAAAGGCACCTTTGTCCACATGTGGTTGGAATGCCCTAAAGTGACCAAATACTGGAGGAGTGTTAAGACATTATTGAAAGATGTCCTCACACGACACATAGACTTAGACCCCTGGGCGATACTACTGTCCCGACCAACAGACGGCCTCCCCAGGAAGGAACAAAAACTTTTAAAAAAACTCACACTGCCTGCGAGAAGAGCTCTTGCACAGATGTGGCTGAAACCCACAGTTCCCACCGACAACGATGTGATAGTTAAAATCAAAGACACATATCTGATGGACAAACTCACAGCCCAAATTAGAAACACAGAAAAATCATTCCTAAAAATCTGGCAACCCTGGGAAGTGTACGCTAATGAATGACACCATATAGCTTGATAAAGGTATGTAACAGATCCGTAGACCTACACCCGCCGGGTGTCCCGACGAACAACACACCCCTCCCCCTCCCTTACTTCACCCCACAGCCCCGTTCAGTACCCCCCCTCCCCATCTCTTAAACTACCAGCCATATGGGACACCATATCAGACAAACACAGGCTAACGCGAATGCCTTGTGTGACGAGACCAATCTCGCCACATTGCATTGGAGAAGCCTGGTTACTCGCCTTCTGCCTTTGGACTATGGCCCCCTGTTAAAAGACATCTTTTTTACCTGCAGAAAAGCTTCATAAGTGCTTTTCTGCCTGGGGTTCGGTAGATTTGTTTGAATGTGTTATACCCCAGATAGGAATCCCATGGAGCCCATTCGTATGAAACTGACTGTAAAGACTTTGGCTCCATGGCGATTAAACTGTATTCGTGTGGTCTGAGCGCCATTCACTTAATAATGTGCGCTCAGACCTGAGCTATCTGGGGATATGTTAAATGTATAGTTTTAATGTAATGTGTCTTACCTGGTGTATTTTAACAGTAATGCTTGTTTTGTGTAACCATGTGCATAATGGAGTCTTGTCTCTGTCCTGGGAGATAATTTAATTACTTCTCAATTATCTCCTGGGCAGAGGAGAGGAAGCCAGGATGCATTGTGGTAAAAAGTATGTGTATTGGGTTACCTCTCAGGATAAGGGGGAGGGAATCTGTGGGTTGTAACTAATATGTTACTGGATATTTTATACCTCCCTGTGGGCGGTCCTGTATTTGCAAGACTGTAATAAAAACCAGGCTGGGTGTGCCAGCACCTCAGACCACTGCTTGACCCTCAACACTGAGCCTTGTCTCGTCTTTGGGGGGATTTACTGTATGCTGCTAAGGACTGATTGCCAGGAGTGTAAGCCGCTTGGGAGCTTTTCCTGTTCGTCTGTTAGCAGCAATTCGTATGGTTCCTGTTCGTGTATTTGGAGTGCTATATTGGATGCCATTCGGGAGTTTGGAGCATTCACTTATTGGACGGACATAACCTTAGGGGACGGACATACAAGAAGTCTGCTGCCAATACAGTACGAAACAAATCAGACACATTAGCGAACACATAAGGAACACAACAGTAAGAACTACTATGAGTGTTACACAGACGACCACAATGACGATGAACCTGCCGGGCGGAATTTAGGACCGCACTATGTTAATGGTTTCATATGCGGGGGCGTGGCTGACAACCGAGCAAGATGGCCGCATAAGGACTTGCTCCGGTAATGAGCTCTTCCACACGAGCTTTTAAGGGCACAAATGAGCACAAACGAGCAACAACATAAACAAAAAAAGACGCCAAAGGCGATGGCTACCCACAGAACAAAAAAAACGACGGCCAAAACGGACAAAATCAACTTCTTCGGCCATAAAGGCCAAACTCCGCAAACAGCCTCACAGTCGGACGCCCAAGATGGCGACGGGGATTCGGACTCGAGCCTCCCCATAGTGGACAACACGCAAACCGACCAAATCACAAAAAGCTTCCTGGAACACCCACTGAATACCTTATCCAACAAACTGATAGCCTCCTGGCAACAAACGGCAGACGCCATGTGGAAAGAAATGCAAGATCTGGGAACCCGTACCTCCAAAATCGAAGACAAAATGGGGGACTTCGCTCAACAACATGGCGGATCATGTTCAACATCTGGAGGAAAAGGTGGAACGCCTGGAGTCGCAAATGGCTGATGCGGAAGATAGGGCACGGCGGAATAACATCCGGCTCCGAGGAGTGCCAGAGTCGGTGCAACAGGTAGACCTTCAGGCCTATGCACGAGGCCTGATGAGGGCCTACGCGCCGGACATACCGACGGATATGATGCTAATTGACCGGATACATAGGATCCCTAAGCCCGCTCACCTGCCAGACTCCACACCACGAGACGTGCTGCTGCGGGCCCATTATTTTCATGTTAAGGAGCTGGTCCTCACGGCGAGCCGCAACCGCAACCACCCGCACGACGACTTCCCCACAGTGAAAGTGTTCAACGACCTCTCGGCAGCAACGCTGAAAAAACGACGGGCATTCCATCGGATCGCAGAAGCGTTGCGGCAACATGGCACCAGATACCGATGGGGCTACCCGACTAAGATGCTGATTCAACGAGGAGGTACCTTCAAACCCGTCCACTCCCCGGAGGAAGGAGCTAGACTGCTAAAAGAATGGGGCATACCACTTGGCCCGTCGGAGCCCACTGCACAGCCGATTGAGAAGACGGCACGGGAGTGGAGCGCTGCCCGCAAGAGACTCACCTAATGGACACAATGGCATGAGCCGCAAGTATTAGCCACGCACAACACCTCAACCACACTGACCTTCACCACATTACACAATTCATGCACACGCACTTGCTATAGATGATGTTCTTTCAGTCCCCCTACACCACATACGTACATATCGCAACACCACATAATGAACTGAAGCGGATGACCCAGTTTGGGGGCCGCAAAGCAGAGAGCCCCGTGAGCACAACGTGGACACTCACCTAAAACCTAACATAAAGTGAACTAGCCACAGCCTGGAGTAACCCAGAAGTGGCCCGCCACTTAACAATCTAAAGGCGGTTAAGTCGTTTTGAGTACCATATGTATAAACTTTGAATATGTTGTCAGGATGTCGGGGGCACTGGGGATCTGGAGTTATGTTGTCCGGGACACTGTATGCAATGATATGTGTATAGAAACATGTCTAGGGGGATCCCATGGACTCACAGTAGCCATTACATGACATGACACAACATAGGAGACAACAAAGTAGACCAGGGAAACTCAGACCATGTGAGATCTGCGGTTGCGCAAAGTCCAAGGGAGACCCAGCCCTAACTACAGCCCCTGCCGTGGGGTGCACTCCATTACGCGGCCGACGAAGCAGGCTGGCACCGCCCCTATGCACGGCGTGATCGGGCCGTGCATATCGGCCGTGGGCCGGGCAGAGGCCACCGGGGGTGACGACTGTGCCCACGGCAGCAGCGACTCCATGACGGATGCAATCTCACGCGGGGTGCTCTGGGTGATGGGCGGCTGCCCGCCATACTAAGGTTGATTTTTTCTATTTTCTATTACACAAAAAAAAAAAAATATATATATATTCCCATTCTGGGACCTGATGGAACCCACATGTAATGTGCATTTCAGCCCTTTACTGACTGATCCTAGCACACAGAGCTCGACAGCCACATCATGGGAGAGCCTAGGAACTCCCACCCCCGAGGTGCGGACCTTCCGCACCAAATCCTCCCTGGAGGAAGCTATGTTCACCATACCCAAGTTCGACTGTCCAGGTTATACCCCCCTCCCTACCCTATCCCATGGAAGAGAGGACCTAACACTAGCCAGCCTTCCCGTAATAACGTACACCACCATTTCATGCCACGGTGGAAGCAAGCTCATATAGCACTATGTGCTTTAGTTCAGCATCTCACTTTCCACCTATGTCTATAACGATACGATCTCATAACACTAGAGGGTTGAACCACCCCCATAAGCGACGCCTCCTATTAGAAGAGGCAAAAAGGGACAAAATTTTATGCGCCCAAGAGACCCACTTTGTGACTAATAGAATCCCTCAATTTGGGCTACGAGACTACCCAATTCAGTTTCACGCTACTCACTCCTCCAAATCCAAAGGGGTGTCCTTTTTGCTGCATCATACACTGACGTTTGAACTGCTGAGTATACGCAAAGATACGCAGGGAAGGTATATAGTACTGCACTGCATAGTTAACAACACTGAATATGTCCTGGTGGGGGTATACGGCCCAAACACGAACCAAACACAATTTCTAAAGAGAGTAATGAACAAATTACCCACCTCAACTACGGGGAATATAATCATATGTGGAGATTTAAATCTTGTGCTGAACTCCCACACGGATACGTCCCTCCTTAGCACCTCCCCACGACACTCCGCTACAAAGACACAGAGCAAAGCCCTAAACAACCTACTAACGGAATACAATTTGTATGACACTTGGCGCACGCTACATCCCATGGGGAGGGAGTTCACTTACTACTCACAGGTACACAAGTCGTTCTCCAGAATAGATTACGTAATGGTGTCGGGGCCACTGGTATTGAGAATTACCCATAGTCAGATAGGTGACATCGTGTGGTCGGACCACGCACCAATCACGGTGTCCCTAAGTGACTCCTTCCTCCATAGAGGGCGGCCACCCTGGCGCCTAAACGACTCCCTCCTGCACGACACTACATTCCGGGCGCGACTGCTACAGGATCTGGAACAATACTTCCAGACCAACGACACTCCGGATATATCCCCCGGCTCATTGTGGCAAGCCCACAAGCCAACTATACGAGGGCTGCTGATCAGCAGAGCCGCATTCATCAAACGCACATCCAATGAGGAATACATGACACTACTTCGAACAGTTCGGGACGCCACGGCCGCACATGCACTAAACCCACACGCTGATCACCTCACCTCACTAGAGTCCGCTACTAAACGGCTGAACGACATTCACTTGGCCAAATCATCCTACGCTATGCAACGCTTAAAAATGAGACAATACTCCCAGGGCAACAAAGCAGGGAAAGTCATGGCAACAATGTTAAGGAAAAAACAATCCCAATCTAAAATCCCTTACCTACACACTAACAGTGGAGCAAAACTGTATAACCCCCAAGACATCAACAATGAGATGGCAAACTTTTATCACGCACTGTATAATCTAAAGCAGGATGCCACGACCCACCAACCCACAGATACTGAAATGACAAACTTCTTAGACCTCGCACAATTACCTTCACTAACGCCCGCACAAATAGACCAACTACAAACTCCAATCACGAACCAAGAGACACTCGACACCATCGCGCTATTACCGCCTGGTAAATCCCCAGGTCCAGACGGTCTAACCAATCATTACTATAAAACATTTGCGGCCACACTGGCCCCACACCTGACATCATTATACAACCACATAACCATAACAGGCAAAATGCCGAGGGAGATGCTGATGGCGCACGTTGCCACTCTCCCTATGCCAGGAAAACCACCAAATAGGTGCCAGAACCTGCGCCCAATCTCGCTCCTTAACACAGACATAAAGATATTAGCCAAAATATACGCAGACCAGGTGGGGTTTGTGAGCGGCCGCCAGGGGGCAGACGGGGTAAGGAAGGTCTTGGACCTGTTGGGTGGACTGCGGGGAGGGGGGGCACCAAGCGTGTTGGTGTCGCTGGACGCTGAAAAAGCGTTCGACCGTCTCCACTGGCCCTTCCTCCGCGCGGTCCTAGGGAGATTTGGGTTCCCCCCACGGTTCAAAGCATTGGTGGAAGCGCTGTACTCATGCCCATCGGCACAAGTGGTAAATGGGGGATTCTCTTCTAGCGCCTTCAGCATTTCCAATGGCACTAGACAGGGCTGCCCCCTATCCCCGATACTGTACATACTTGCCCTGGAGCCACTTGCACATAGGATCAGGAATGACCCCGCAATCCAGGGAATTAAGGTAAAACACGAAGAATATAAAATTGCACTATTTGCGGATGACATCCTTCTCACGCTACAAAACCCGCGCTCCTCTCTGGCGGCACTGCAGAACCTAATACACCAATACGGAAAATGCTCGTACTATAAATTAAATATTACCAAAACACAAGCACTAGGCATCAATATAGCGCAACCTGAGGCGAGCCACCTTAAAACGGACTTTGCGTTTGAATGGCGCACGGACAAACTAACATTCCTAGGAATAGCCTTGACAAAAACGCTGGCGGGTATCCACAAGGCGAACTACATACCACTGCTCGCGGAGCTCAAGTCCCTTGTACACAGCTGGAAGGGGAAATTCATATCGTGGGTGGGCAGGATAGCTGCCGTAAAAATGATGCTTCTCCCAAGAATACAATACCTGTTCAGAACCATCCCGCTTGCAATTCCCAGACGTTACCTGCGTGAAGTACAAACTCTAGTAACCTTGTTCGTCTGTAATAACACTAAACCTAGAATAGCAGCAGCTACACTACACAAACCTCTCCAGAAGGGAGGCATGGGCTTGCCAAACATAGCTCACTACTACAAAGCGGCCATGATAGGCACAATCTTGGCAGTCACGGGCAACCCCAACCCCCCACAGTGGGTAAGAATAGAAGCACACTACACGAATAACTTTACAATCTCCGCTTTGGCTTGGATGTCTAGGAAATTGCGGCCTAAACACAAGGACAGTCTCCCCACCACTAGACTCACACTGCAAATCTGGGATCAGTTTGGGAAGACACACTTAATGAAAGGGGGCACCTCTCTAGCAACACCACTGGAGACTCTGAGCCTGATCATTCCAGGATTCCACCTTCGAATATGGCACAAACATGACATACAACACCTACACCACATATGTCAGGGCCCAACTTTAAACACATTCACTGAGATCCAAAAACAATATGGGCTCCCAGACACAGCTCGCTTCTCATATATGCAACTAGTGTCATGGTTCAGGACTCAAACGATCTGCTCTTACGACCCGGAGGTTGGGCTACAACTGACAGAACTAGAATTAATATGCCTCAACCTAAAACCAAAGAAAAAACTCATTTCATTAGTGTACGCAATACTCAACTCCACAATAAGTCACCACACCTTCACCTTTACGAAAGCGTGGGAACGCGATCTAAAAACTCACATAACTGAGAGTCAATGGACTCAAATATTTAAGGGACACAGGAATCTCTCGCTGTGCGCCTCCCACACAGAGATCACGCGTAAAATTGTATACAGATTAGGCAGAAAGAGGCTAAGCAAGTTATAAGAGCTTCCAAATCACACACAGAAGAGAAAATAGCACAGTCAGTAAAAAAGGGGGATAAAACATTTTTTAGATACATAAATGAGAAAAGAAAAGTAAAACAAGGATTAGTTAGATTAAAAACAAAAGAAGGAAGGTATGTAGAAGAGGATAAAGACCAGGCTGACTGCCTCAATGAATATTTTTGTTCTGTATTTACAGATGAAAATGAAGGAAAGGGACCTCAGTTGAGAAAAGGATAAATGAGTCATTTATTACACGTGAGTTTACAGAGGAAGAGGTTCTATTTCAACTGTCAAAAGTAAAGACAAATAAGTCAATGGGACCTGATGGAATACACCCAAAGCTATTAAAAGAGCTTAGTGGTGTACTAGCAAAACCATTAACAGATTTATTTAACCAATCATTGTTAACAGGAGTAGTCCCAGAAGATTGGAAGTTAGCGAATGTTGTGCCCATTTACAAGAAAGGTAATAGGGAGGAGTCGGGC